GCCCAAAGCTGTACCGCCGGCAGAAGGGAAAGCCGATTGGGCTCCCGAGTGCGTCACGTGATCCCCAGGGGGTTCCCATAGAAACGCTTCTCTGCGGTCCAGCGTCGGGGAGCTGGGGGTGGGGGGTCCTAGGTTGACGGCGATGGGTACCGGGGGCGGGTGGCTTTGGCTTCTGCTGCCGCCGCCGCCGCCGAGCAGTCGTTGGAGTCCCGCGTGAGTCCGGCCGGCCGGGACTTGCGTGTGGGGAGTGATGGACTGGCTGCCGGGCCGAGCCGCCTGCAGTTGGCAGGAGTATGGGGCGGAGTGGGGCACGCCCGGGTGCCCGGCGTCGTGCTAGTGCTTGGAGACGTCGCTTCGGAACGCGCTCTGCCCCACGCCGCGTCCGGAGCTGGGGGACCCCACGACCGCGCCGCGCGGCCGGGGAGAGGTCCCCAAGGACGGAGTCGAAAGGTCACCCCTCATCTCTTAGTGCTGCTAACGACATCGTGACGGGACCTGCAGAACCTGAACTCGGTATCATCTCTGTCGGGAGGGAGGGAAGACGCCGGGGCAGGGCTGGAGCCAGGTGGCCAAATTGGGTGTACGTGGAGAATGTGGCGTAGGGTCAGTCATCCTCGACATCTTAAAGTAAAATGCTGAGATAGGTGGGCGAGCTAAGCGCTGGAGCTGAAGGAACACCAAACGTGTAGGGATTCGTAGAAATCCAACCCTGTGATTGGTGTCTGTGATTTTCATGACCCTTCTAGACCAGCATTTAAATGATAGTCTACATTCTTGTTTCTGAAAGCAGAGCTCTTATTGTGGAAGTAAAGGACGTGCTAATTTATCTGTGTATTGCACCGAAGTACAAATTAACGAACAATCCAAATTTGGACATTTTTTTGGGCATTGCTCAGGTGGCTTCATATTTTCCTGCCAACCTCCCCATCTAGTTTAGCTTCGACCTCTGTCTGAGCAAAGGCTGGCTGTTGCCCCAGTGAGTACTCCAATCCCTGGATTCTGGTCATGTATTCAAGAGTCCCGAGTTTAGAATTGGAAGACCCCGATTGGGTTCCTCCACTCTTAATCTGAGACAAGCCACTTAAAATTTATGACTCTTAAATACTTTATCACTAAGGTGGGGATAATACAGTATATTTCTCCAGCTTGTTCAGAGGTTTAAATACACAGAAGTGTTTTGAAGCTTGAAAATTGCACATAAATGTGAAATGCATGGTTCCTGTATCATTGGCCCTGAGTTTACTTGGTGATATAATATCAAGTTGTATCTTGCTTCTGGCAGAGATGACAAAATTCTGGAGGTGACAGACCTGTCATATTTCTTTGTGTTCTGTTACATGCAGAAGACAATGAATAAATGCTTGTGGAACGAATGAAGTGTGATGGGAGTACAGGTTGAGGGTCCCACTGTGAATAATAAATCAGTAAGACGAGAAAGATCTCAAATCAGACCTTTAGGTCACTTATCTATATGTATCTATATTTAGAGAGAGAGAAAGGGAGAGGGAGGAAGAAAAGAGAAGGGAGGGAGAAAGAGGGGAGGGAGGAAGAAAGAAAGGGGGAGACCGATAAGCAGATACTCCACAAGAAAGGACTACATCCCTTTTTCTTGTGAGGAAAAAACAGTGTGCCTTCCATGCTGCCACCCTCCCCGCTTTAAGTCGCCCTTCTAGAAGGTATATAATTCAGATGATGAAAGTGGCATTTTCTTAAATTGACATACAAATTTCAAACTCCTCCTTAGGAATTTCTTAAAACAGCAAAGGGAAAATTTCTACCTTTTGGTAATATTTGTTTCAGAATATTCTGTACCAAAGTATCAGGTAATTACTCTGTTGAATGGCGTTATATAACTTAGAATAAAGATGTATTTCAAATGTTTTTTCCTCAGGTTCAATCATTTGCTAACTTTAGCACAAGTGAAATAATGTTCTTCTGCAGATACTAAAGATTGTACTTTTCCTTTAAATTAAGATTTCCTTGAGGAGAAAATTGCACGTTAAAAGCACGATTGAACAACGGGAGCAAGGCTTCAAGATTTAATTCATTCCTTCTCTGACATCCTATTCTTTTGCACTAATTCTTATTTAGGAAATCTTCCTGTGTCTTTCCTCTCTCTTGCCTTAGGACTGGGAAAGACTCCCTGGGTAGAAATCAGTTTAAGGGAATAGTGGGAAGAATTTTAAAATCAGGAATGCTCAAGGGTATAATTGTTTTGATTGCTCAGAATCTCACGTTATAAGTTGAATGTGTTAAATGAATTCTTCAGCCTCCCAAATGTGTCTTATATTTCAGATGGCAAAAAGTCTTTTTTCCGTGCAGTATTTTTAATTGTCTCACAAGGATCTAAGTGCCTAGTGTATTAGTACTCAATAAATTTATGATCTGACAAGTTATTTTTGGAATTAGATTTAGAAATGGAATATTTTTGATGGCTACATTAATAGCCTTTCCTATGCTTACTAGTTAATAGTTAAATATTAGCAAAATTTTAAGGAGGAAGAAATTCATTATTAATTATATTTTAATTAAGTTTGTCTCACGTAATGTTAACTATGATAGTTACTTCCTTATAAGGCAAAGTATGCTACCTATTTTAATAATTTAAATGAGTGCTTACTCCTAAATAAAGAACTCACTTGGCTTAAATATGTTAATTATTGTGCACAATAACCTAATGTGGTCCATACCAAAGCAAGGCTGACCCTGCATGTTCTCAAGGCTAATGCTGATCTCTACTATGTAGCACTTTCTTTCTTGTTTTTTCTGTGATGAGACAGATGGCAAGGATCCTTTTAGTGAGAAGGAACTTTTATCTTACAGTAGGTCTTTCTTTTCAGATCTTTAAAACAAAATACTCTCCAACTATGTTCTTTCCCCCACATTTGCTACTAAATACTTAAAAAACAAGCCAAGACATTGGCTCCTGTCAATGTGGGCCTTTTATTTTAAGGTATTATTTTATTTTGAGGTAGAAGTATGGTCACTTTAAATTAAACATGTTAAATGAGTATGATAAATATAACATAAATAAAATTCATTTCTGGAAATGATGATTTAATCCCATTATTCTCTAGCAACATAATTACTATAATTCAAAACTTCTTTTCATACTCTCCTAAAACAATATTATGGGTTAATGCCCAACTCAATTGGTCCTATGCTGAAACAATCAACCTTCAAAACCTCAAGTTATTATTTTTTTAGATTCATATGACCTTACGACTACACACTGACAGAGGAACTAGGGTAAAATAATTTGTAACAGAACCTTTATTTGGATAGCAAAATGAGGGGCTTCAAAAAGACATGGGAAAATGGAATTATAAGACAATGTCTTTTAATACAAAGTCCCCCTGTACTTCAAAAATAAAAGAATTCTAAATCTTGTATTGGGATACATGTTTAGGGCTTGTCTTTAACCGGCTTAGCTAGAGGAGCAAAACTGATGACCTACACACACACACACACACACACACACACACACGCACGCACACACGCACACACGCACGCACACGCACATATATACCTGCACACACATTTGGATCAAGAAAATGGCTCAAACAGATGTAGAAGAGGGCAAGCCCAAGTCCAGTCAGGTTCCAAGTCTGTGGGTCACTCAGATGTTAGGCTGGAGGCTTTTCCTGAGATACACAGCTATGTCTCAGGAAGATAAAACCAAGATTGGCAGGAAAACCACAGGCTGGTGGCTGCAGAGGCAGATGAATCCACATTCTGAAAGACAGATGGAACGCTTCTAGGATAGGCAGGCAATATTGTGGGCCATTGGCTCAAGTCCAAAGAACTTGGAGGCCAAATAGCCAGGTGCAGGATCCAGACCCTGCAAGAAGCAAGCAAGGTTTTCCACAATGTCCACTTACATTGGAAGTAGGCCACCCCCCTCTGGAAACTTCCATTTAATTGATTAGATCGGGGCTGTGATCTGAGTAAGGGTGCTTTATCCCACCCTAATCTTACAACTGATTGGTTGTGATTACACTGTCAGGTCAGGTCACGAGTGCTTGTTAGGTGCTGTCAAACCCGTTCCACCTCATAGGGACACTATACAACAGAATGACACACTGCCATCCTGTGCCATTCTCACAATCGTTCTTATGTTTGCACCCATCAATGCAGCCACTGTGTCAGTCCATCTTGTTGAAGGTCTTCCGCTTTGCCTGATACATGATGGCCTTCTCCAGGGACTGGTCTCTTGACAACAGGTCCAGAGTACATAAGATGAAGTCTCACCATCCTTGCCTCTAAGGAGCACTCTGGCTGTACTTTTTTTTTTCAAGACAAGACTTGTTAGTTCTTCTGGCAGCCCATGGTACTTTCGGTATTCTTTGAGAGCACCATAACTCAAAGGCATATGTTTTTCTTCAATTTTTCTGATTTAATGTCCAACTTTCCCATGTACAGGAGGCAATAAAAAATACCATGGCTTGGGTCTGGTGTACCTTAGTCCTCAAATAACATCCTTGCTTTTCAACATTTTAAAGAGGTCTTCTGCAGCAGATTTATCCAATGTCATTTGATCTCTTGACTGCAGTTTCCATCGTGGATCCTAGTAAGACAAAATCCTCGAAATCTTCAGTCCTTTCTCTATTTACCTTGAAGTTACCTACTGGTCTAGATATAAGTATTTTGGTCTTCTTTACCCCAAGTTTAAATCCATACTGAAGGCTGCAATCCTTGATCTTCATCAGCAAGTGCTTCAAGTCTTTATTTTCAGCAAGCAAGGTGTGTTTTCTGCATATAGTAGCCTGTTACTAAACCTTCCTCCAACCCTGATGCCACATTTCTCTCCATATAATCAGCATCTCTGATGATTTTTTCTGCACACAGATTAAATAAGTATGGTGAGAGGATTTGCTGATTTTAAACCATGCAGTTTTCCTTTGTTCTGTTCATACAACTACTTTTGATCCAGGTCCAGGTTCTGCATGAGCACAATGAAGTGTTCTGGAATTCTAAGGCTATTATTTTCATGGCTAGCCATAGTTTGTTATCATCCACATAGTGGAATGCCTTAGCATAGGCAATGAAACATAAGTAAACATCTTTCTAGTATTCTCTGCTTTTAGTCAAGATCCATCTAACACCAGGAATGATAATCCTTGTTCCACATCCTCTTTTGAATGTGGGCTGAATCTCTGACAGCTCCCCAACAATGTTCTGTTGCAACCATTGTTGGATGATCTTCAGCAAAATTTGACTTGTAGGTGATATTAATTATAATGTTTTATAGTTTGAGCATCCTGTTGGGTCACCTTTGTTTGGAATGGGTGTGAGTGTGGATCTCTCTTAGTCAGTTGACCATGTAGCTGTCTTCCACATTTCCTGACATAGACAAGTGAGTGCTTTCAGTGCTTCATCAGCTTGTTGAAACATTTCAGTGGGTATTCCATCAATACCTGGAGCCATGTTTTTGGCCAATACTTTCAGTATATCTTGGACTTCTTCCTTCAGCACCATTGATTCTTGGTCATACGCTACTTCTGTTAATGGTT